GCCATCGCTACTAGGTTGGAGGCCAACTAGGTTGGAGGCCATCGCTAGTAGGTTGGAGGCCATTTCTATCAGGTTGGAGACCATCGCTATTTAGGTTGGAGGCCATTGCTAATTAGGTTGGAGGCCATCGCTATTAGGTGGGAGGCCATCGCTATTTAGGTTGGAGGCCATCGCTATTTATGCTAGAGGCCATCGCTACTAGGTTGGAGTTGGAGGCCATCGCTATTACGTGGGAGGCCATCGCTTTTTAGGTTGGCGGCCATCGATATTTAGGCTAGAGGCCATCGCTACTAGCTTGGAGGCCATCGCTACTAAGTTGGAGGCCCATCGCTATTAGGTTGGAGGCCATCGCTAGTAGGTTGGAGGCCATTGCTATGTAGGTTGGAGGTCATCGCGTTTTGTTAGTTGTTTCCTTCTTTCGACTCTTAGACAGTAATTGCTTTTCCCTGCCAAGCCGCGCTCCCCAGAGCTCACCACCTGCGCATCATCCTCGCTGCCGAAGACATAGAGCTTCCCTTCGATCACCGCAGCGGCACCTTTAGCAACAGCGACTGAGGCTGGAGATATTTGTTTGCTAAAGTGCGTCACTGAGCAGAGCTTGACCATCTTTTGCCTTGTATCTTTCAGAGTTCTTTCTTTGTTTTGCCTCAAATCTCGGACTCCAGCTTACAACTCGGCGCAGAAGGTGTGGTGGCAAGAGATTCCATGACTTCCCATCCTGCAAATGCAAAGATATCAAGCCATATACACATCGTGCTAAGCATTGCTAAGCCATACCAACACTCGAGCAGAGACGGCCTCCGGGTCATATCTCTCTGCCAAGTTCAACTGCCCAGCTCCTTTCCAGCTCCGTCTACGATCGATAAAACAGTACGACATGTCTGGGGCACACACCATCGAAACCTCCACAAACGTAGAGTTTTCCAGCCATGACCACCTTACGACTCCAAGCATCTTCATTTTGGGCCGCCGAGGTCCGGGACGCGCACAGCGATTGCACGTCTTCGACGCTCTCGCATGCGAGGCAGGCCTCAAGCCATCTTGGACCAGAAAAAGAAGAAAAGAAGAAATCTCTGCCTTTCTTTGGCCGAGAGCATGGCAAGACCATTTCCCAGACACCGGATCGAAGCACTCCACCGAGCTCAAACTGGCACGCTTTCGGGAACAACATGACCCGTCTCTTCACTCCTGTTTCGCGCCAACGACAGCGGTCGAAGGCTACGCCTTTCTGCGCCATCGAAGCCGCCACAAACATAGAGGCGTCCTCGCAACGTGGCCACCGCTGGATGGCTACGCCTGACGGGAGCCGGCGGCCTAGACGTGGCACGACATCCGCGAGATCTGTGAGGTAGACTTCGTTTTAAGCCCGCTCCCCCCACCTTAATTAAGTAGGTGCTTACTTAAGTAAGGGAGTAAGCTACTCGCTACTTAAGCTACTACCTACTAAACGCAGGATAGCTCACGCACTAATGATTTGGTTTCTAGATTTTTTAGGAAAGAAACCAAGTCTTTGTCATTTGTCACATCGTTTACCCTCTTATTATTCAGGCCTTTCCAGCATGGGTGGCAGCTGCTCCCAGCAGCCTGCAGTAATGTTGTAGCCTTGGAGCATCACCATCAGTGAAAGCATGTGAAAGCTGAAAAGCTCGTCCCAAGAAAACATGGTTTGAAAAAGTAGCTCTTGAAACAAAGCGAAAGCGATCCCCCCAATCAGCATCTGGACGAAACATCGCTGAGATCTTGGCGCTCGACCTGGCTGAGGCGGCGTTCGCCATCCCAGCCTCCACAAACAAAGAGCTCCACATCTGCAGCCACCTCAAAGAGCTTCACATCTAGGCGTTGTTCAGAAGAGCAAAGAGATGCGCTAAGTCTAGGTAAGTTGTTTGCAGACAGTAGTTGCGTACTTGTCAAAGTTAAAATGAGTCTAGGTAACTCAGTATGCACAGCCAATGGGCCTGTCAAGGCTCACTAAGACCAGAGCAACTGCCCGTCGATCGGACATCGGTGGAAGAGCTTCCCAGTGATCTCCGTTTGGAGCCTGTCCAATCTGAATGCAGCAATTGAATGAACATTGCTCCTAGTAGCGATACCCTTTGCTCCTAGTAGTAAGGCCAGGAGCCCCTAGTAGC